CCTCTCTCCCAAACACCTCAAAAACCCCTCTCCAAATACCCCTTCAACACCTCCCAACAACATTTCCCCCCGACAACCCTCACATCCACAACCACCCAAACCTCCCCAACTAAAGCCACCTCCCCAAAAAGCCCGACGCCCCCCCCCCACACAACCCCTACATCCCCTTCAAACACCACCTCCCAAACGACCTCCAACAAACACCACCTTCCCAACAAACCTCACCTCCCCACCAACCTCCAACAAGCACCACCTCCCCAACAAACATCACCTCCCTAACAAACTCCAACAAACACCACCTCCCCAACAAACCTCACCTCCCTAACAACCTCCAACAAGCACCACTTTCCCAACAAACCTCACCTCCCTAACAACTTCCAACAAACACCACCTTCCCAACAAACCTAACCTCCCTAACAACTTCCAACAAACACCACCTTCCCAAAAAACCTCACCTCCCTAACAACTTCCAACAAACACCACCTTCCCAACAAACCTCACCTCCCTAACAACTTCCAACAGCACCACTTTCCCAACAAACCTCACCTCATCAACAACTTCCAACAAACACCACCTTCCCAACAAACCTCACCTCCCCAACAACATCCAACAAACAACACTTTCCCAGAAACCTCACCTCCCCAACAACCTCCATCAAAAACCACTTCCCCAACAAACCTCACCTCCCCAAAAACCTCCAACAAACACCACCTTCCCAACAAACCTCACGTCCCCAACAACCTCCAACACACCCAACCTCCTCAACAAACCTCTCCTCCCCAACAAACTCCAACACACCCAACCTCCTCAACAAACCTCTCCTCCCCAACAACCTCCAACACACCCAACTTCCCCAACAAACCTCTCCTCCCCAACAACCTTCAACAAACACCACTTTCCCAACAAACCTCACCTCCCCAACAACTTCCAACAAACACCACCTTCCCAAAAAACCTCACCTCCTCAACAACCTCCAACACACCCCACCTCCCCAACAACCTCCAACAAACACCACCTTACCAACAAACCTCACCTCCCCAAAAACCTCCAACAAACACCACTTTCCCAACAAACCTCACCTCCCCAACAACTTCCAACAAACACCACCTTCCCAACAAACCTCACTTCCCTAACAACTTCCAACAAACACCACCTTCCCAACAAACCTCACCTCCCTAACAACTTCCAACAAACACCACCTTCCCAACAAACCTCACCTCCCTAACAACTTCCAACAAACACCACCTCCCCAACAAACCTCACCTTCCTAACAACTTCCAACAAACACCACCTCCCCAACAAACCTCACCTCCCTAACAACTTCCAACAAACACCACCTCCCCAACAAACCTCACCTCCCTAACAACTTCCAACAAACACCACCTCCCCAACAAACCTCACCTCCCTAACAACTTCCAACAAACACCACCTCCCCAACAAACCTCACCTCCCTAACAACTTCCAACAAACACCACCTCCCCAACAAACCTCACCTCCCTAACAACTTCCAACAAACACCACCTCCCCAACAAACCTCACCTCCCTAACAACTTCCAACAAACACCACCTCCCCAACAAACCTCACCTCCCTAACAACTTCCAACAAACACCACCTCCCCAACAAACCTCACCTCCCTAACAACTTCCAACAAACACCACCTCCCCAACAAACCTCACCTCCCTAACAACTTCCAACAAACACCACCTCCCCAACAAACCTCACCTCCCTAACAACTTCCAACAAACACCACCTCCCCAACAAACCTCACCTCCCTAACAACTTCCAACAAACACCACCTCCCCAACAAACCTCACCTCCCTAACAACTTCCAACAAACACCACCTCCCCAACAAACCTCACCTCCCTAACAACTTCCAACAAACACCACCTCCCCAACAAACCTCACCTCCCTAACAACTTCCAACAAACACCACCTCCCCAACAAACCTCACCTCCCTAACAACTTCCAACAAACACCACCTCCCCAACAAACCTCACCTCCCTAACAACTTCCAACAAACACCACCTCCCCAACAAACCTCACCTCCCTAACAACCTCCAACAAACACCACCTCCCCAACAAACCTCACCTCCCCAACAACCTCCAACAAACACCACCTCCCCAACAAACCTCACCTCCCCAAAAACCTCCAACAAACACCACCTTCCCAACAAACCTCACCTCCCCAACAACTTCCAACAAACACCACCTTCCTAACAAACCTCACCTCCCCAACAACTTCCAACAAACACCACCTTCCCAACAAACCTTACCTCCCCAACAACTTCCAACAAACACCACCTCCCCAACAAACCTCACCTCCCCAACAACTTCCAACAAACACCACCTTCCTAACAAACCTCACCTCCCCAACAACTTCCAACAAACACCACCTTCCCAAAAAACCTTACCTCCCCAACAACTTCCAACAAACACCACCTCCCCAACAAACCTCACCTCCCCAACAACTTCCAACAAACACCACCTTCCCAACAAACCTCACCTCCTCAACAACCTCCAACACACCCCACCTTCCCAACAACCTCCAACAAACACCACCTTACCAACAAACCTCACCTCCCCAACAACCTGCAACAAACACCACCTCCCCAACAAACCTCACCTCCCCAACAACTTCCAACAAACACCATCTCCCCAACAAACCTCACCTCCCTAACAACCTCCAACAAACACCACCTTCCCAACAAACCTCACCTCCCCAACAACTTCCAACAAACACCAACTTACCAACAAACCTCACCTCCCCAACAACCTCCAACAAACACCACCTCCCCAACAAACCTCACCTCCCTAACAACCTCCAACAAACACCACCTCCCAACAAACCTCACCTCCCCAACAACTTCCAACAAACACCACCTTCCCAACAAACCTCACCTCCCTAACAACCTCCAACAAACACCACCTTCCCAACAAACCTCACCTCCCCAACAACTTCCAACAAACACCAACTTACCAACAAACCTCACCTCCCTAACAACCTCCAACAAACACCAACTTACCAACAAACCTCTCCTCCCCAACAACCTCCAACACACCCAACCTCCCCAACAAACCTCTCCTCCCCAACAACCTCCAACAAACACCACCTTCCCAACAACCTCCAACAAACACCACCTTCCAACGAACCCCCAACTCCCCCATGACCGTCAGTGACTCAAGGTACAAATGAGACCAAGAGTAGCTAGGGTGGGGTGCATTGTTCGCACTCGTACATAAAGAGTAATATGAAACACAGGGCTTAAGGCTAAAACCTGTTGGGTCTATGTTCACGGTTTCCCCTGGCCCAGTGTTTTAAATATCTGATGCATTCAACTTAAACGCGCACCTCCCAGTAATACACACAGTTGTACAATATGGTCTTAGGGTGTTAGGGGTAACTGTCCAAACTGTGCCCCGGGCTGTTGGGACGATCAAGAACACTAAAGTTTAGTGTATTGGAGCAACTCCACCAAATTATGCCACCGTCTTTTGGGGACACTCAAATTTAAGGTGTTAGGGGGAACTCCCCCAAAATATGCCACAGTCTATTGGGACACTAAAGTTTAGTGTGTTGGGGGGGAACTTCTCCCAACAATGCTACTGTCTATTGGGACACCAAAGTTAAGGCAATTTAACCTACTTGTCTGTGAGACCCTTGAGAATCAGGTTGGGCCCTGTACCCGTCAAGCACGCGATCCCGCCAGCACTCGACGCGTAACAAATGCACAGCGACAGCGCCTTCCCCATGTTGACCCACGCCGGGTCGTCCTCGTCCCCACCGTCCTCGTTCTCTTGGTCAGCTGGAACCGAGGGTGGCTTGACCATCTGAGATGAGCTGGACATCAGTGAGACATGACGTTAAAAATTAACCATATACACAATTTTTACCCCCCCCCCTTTTCCAAAAAGAAAAAAAAAGTGAATTTAAAAAAAATGAAAATATCCGACAACAGGTTATCTTTTGGTTGGCTTGTTAGTGCTAGTCGTGGTTGTATATCTTTTGATTTCGTGGTTTCAAAACGGAGAGGAAAGCAAGTGGTCAACGGCAATTTTTGATATTAAAACAAAAATAAAAATATATTTATTTAAAAAATGAAAGTATTCAAATGATCTTTTGTTTAAGTCGCATTCAGGTAGAGTTGTAATCATTGAACTATCCTCACCGGCACCAGGCACAGACACATTGCAAATCCCCTCTACATGCATAGGAGCCAAGATGATCAATAAATTGATCGTGGGCCCTTAATATATAGAAGAAGAAGAAGAACTTCTCTTATTAAGGTAAACATATAATTTCTAAGACATACGAAGAAAAAATTAATTAGATGTAGTATTTTAGAGAATGACAATGTCTAACTTATGTGTTTCATGGTCTGTCTTTATTGGCCCGAGTAAAAACAAAGTGTCCTGGGAACACACGTGTTCACTGATGGTTCATTGACAGTTCACTGACAGTTCATTGACAGGGTTGCGGCGATTAATCGGCCAATTCGCCCCTACCCCCCCCCCCTTTCCAGGTGCAACCCTAGTCATTGAGTCACTGAAAGATTTGAAAACAACCACGACCTCCTTCTGATTTAATAAGTTACCTTCCTGTTTCCGGATCTGCCTTCTCAGTTATGGTTCCGTTTGACCCAGATACGATCTTCAACTCGTAGTTTCCCAGATCTTGAGGGAGTTTACAAAAAAAAAAAAAGAGTTGTTATTGTTTTTACGACAATGTCCAACCATGCGTCATGCCACCCCACCACCCCCTGTCAACCCCAATGTCCAACCATGCGTCATGCCACCCCACCACCCCCTGTCAACCCCAATGTCAACCATGCGTCATGCCACCCCACCACCCCCTGTCAACCCCAATGTCCAACCATGCGTCATGCCACCCCACCACCCCCTGTCAACCCCAAAGTCAACCATGCGTCATGCCCCCCACCCCCATTCAACCCGCCAAACAATCTTCCCCCACTCCTCAGGCCATAAAATTCAAGAAGAAAAACATAAATAATTCGTTACAAATAAAAATAAAATAATCCATAAATACAATTATAAAATATATTTTGATCTAATTAAAATAAAATCAATTATCATTTCGCTTCCCTTAATGTCCCAATGGCAAGAGCTATTCTCAGTTAGGCAGAATCCAATAAAAATAATTCATCCCCCACTTCAAACCAGTGAGATGTTCACTCCATTTGAGTACTTCGACATGGTTTGTGAGGACACACAGTTGGATCTATATGTAATTTGAAGATGGTCATTTCTTATGCACAGATGCATCCAAAGAAAAAAATTCAGAACAAGTTCATTTGGGGTGGGGGTGGGGGTGGGGGAGGGCAAATTATACAAAGGTAATCAAAGTCTTAAAAAAATAAGACACACATATTTTTTTTTTATGGCTGGTGTCCTTTCTGTTAAAAAAAACTATATTTCAATTAATTGTGTCCATTCTTTTATTATCCCACCACTTGTTTTTCCTTCTCCAATTTGTGTGCACACTATCATTTATTATGGTGCAGCGCCCAATGTCATTTTTGAGTAATTTTGTCCTATTTGGGATCCCCCCCCCTAATGATCCCGTGAAATGTCTGTGGCAGCGGTTGTCAACCTGTGGGTCGCGACCCCTTTGGGGGTCGATTGACCCTTACACAGGGGTCGCCTAAGACAATCAGAAAACACATACTTACGAAGTAGCAAAGATATTGATTTTATGGTTGGGGGCTCACCACAACATGAGGAACTATGTTTAAAGGGTCGCGGCATTAGGAAGGCTGACAGCCACTGATCTATGGCATTTATAAATGACTATAAATTAATTCGTTAATTTGACCGTGGGTTAACAGCAAATGAGCTGACCTCCATTGACCTTTTGCTGACTGGCCTTGCTGGTGCCCTTCAACTGGACCAGCACGGCCTCCGCTATGGGGATCATCATGGCTGTGGTGGCGGTGTTGGAGATCCACATGGACAGGAACCAGGTGGCCAGCATCATTCCCAACATCAGCCTGGAAGTGATAGCCCAATCATGTCAGTTATGTCAACGCATATGAACTTTATACAATTGCTCTCAAATTGGAAGGGTTTTTTTTTTCCTTTCGTTTAAAAAATGGGGTACAACCACGTAGTAAATATCATGTTATTTTTGCACAGAAAAGGTTCTAGGAAACTGGTTCCAATTTCATAATATCAGTGGCCGTTGCCATGGTTTTGAAACACGATACCGTGAATTGAAAGGAAATAAATTATTCAGATTATAAGCTTACTATTTAAAAAAAAATATTATTATATCTGTTTTAATAGCCTCTAATCAACTTACTGGAGTTTAGAATCAAGAAAATTTATTTTGGAACAAAGCAGAATTTTAAAAAAAAAGTAGGCGGCAACCAGGGGCAGGTTACTATGTTTTTTTCAAAATATTTGGACGTACCCCCGTTAAGAGTTAACCACGATGCCTTTCTAAGCTTCACACAACTGAATGACCAAGTGTTCTGGACGTCGACTCAACATTAATTAAATATTTGATTTTATTCAAAGTCATCTGCTTGTTACTGTTTTTTTAAAGCTTCAGAATTATTAAAGCAATTAGAGGGGAAAAAAAGTTCGCCTAAAGGAAAGATTTCAAATTTATAATATAAAACTATACAGCAAGATCAGTGGCGTAGCTAGGATTTGTTCCGCGAGGGGTGGGCCAAATTTTATCTCCACCTCCTTCAACGAAAAAAACTCTGTAGTCGGCCGAAACTCCCAACCCCATTTTTTTCATATATAAAAAAAAAATTACCGCTCGGAGCAAGTAACCCCCCCCCCACGCCACCCCCTTCCTACGCCACTGACAAAGCTACATTCACATGTAAGCACATAACCCTTATCTATCGTCCTACCATCTCGGTTCAGCGCCCACTGCCATCAGCACCCACAGCGCCACCCGTTTGTGAAGATTCCAGTACTCTATGGCTGTAGCCATGATCAGACCGCCCACAAACAGCATGTTGGTGTCCTGATGGCAGAGAATAGTCAGGACGTCAAACTCAAGTTTTTTTCTTAACCTCAAGACCAACACCAGTGCATTCAATCATGTCTCAGTGCATAAATAACAGTGGATGCCTAGATTTACTTTACACCACTTTAAGCACCGAGGTAAAGGAACACTATTAAAAGGTTGGGGGGGGGGGGTGTCTAGTTCTAACATTTTTTTGTGTTATCCGTAATACTTCAATAATGAAATTTATAAAATTTGAAAGAGGTAACATCCGGCTGGCGGAGGAATACAGCTGTGTCCAAGGCATGCAGAGTCAGATTCACACTTAAAATTGGTTTGGTTTTGTATAAAATAGACCCCCCACATGTCTTAAGTTTTTTTGAACGAAAAAAAAGTGGGTTATTTGTAACGACTTATTGAACTGCTATATGCTAGGATATACAGTTGTCGCTCGTCACTTTGCGCTTCGATTTTCGCGGCTTCACCCTGTCACGGATTTTTTTTTTTTCAAATATAACAAGTATTCATTAAAAATTTGATCGAGATAGTGAAAATGAGCACGCCCTGGTTGTGTGAGTCAGTGACACACACCTGTATTTCAATTGACATTAATGTACGCAATGAGCATCCCCAGAGGGTCGAACAATGTTAAAACCGTCTTTAGAGGGCTGTGAACAGGTTTTCTATTCTCTAGCTACGAACATATTCGATTTATAAATAAGGAATCATTACGTCGCTGAAATTCACTTATCGCGGTAGAGTCTGGAACTGATTGACTGCGATATACGAGAAGCCACTGTAGTATAGGCCTATATAGGTCTATTTATTTATCTAGTTTGTCGGACAATTCATAAAGTGAACTGATCTCAGAAGAAATAACATTACTGTGTAAATATTCAGTATCTTTCAAAATTTGTTTTTCATTTTAATTTAACATTTCACAAAATTTTTATTTGATGGCTAATTAGGTACAATTTAAAATTGACGTCTTAAATTGACGTCTAATATACGTCATTATTTATTTAAATTTTTTTTTTTTTTTTACAACTTTCTGCGCCTTACATTGAAGTACTGCGAAGCAATCTCATTGGAGCTGACGATCTCAAACAGGGGGAACAAGAAGACGGGCAAAAGAGCGGTAATCCCAAGGGGGGGCGACTCGGTAATCCAGTAAACAGCCAATTTGTTTTTTATTTTAATTTAATATTTCAAAAATTTTTTATTTTATGGCTAATTAAGTAAAATTTAAAATTGACGTCTTAAATTGACGTCTAATATACGTTATTATTTATTTAAATTTTTTTTTTTTTTTTTTACAACTTTCTGCGCCTTACATTGAAGTACTGCGAAGCAATCTCATTGGAGCTGACGATCTCAAACAGGGGGAACAAGAAGACGGGCAAAAGAGCGGTAATCCCAAGGGGGAGCGACTCGGTAATCCAGTAAACAGCCATCAAGATGACAGCGTAGGCGCACTTGGTCTCCTGCATTGACAAACAAACACAACAACCTATTTACCAACTGTATAGCTTCCTTGTTGAATTCATTAGAAAACAACAAGTATATCACGTTTCATTTCAACTTGAGAACTATGGAGTCACAATAACCACGAAGCAGTGGTCCTCAAATTAAATAGTAACGTTACTGTGATGTTTTTTTAAAATAAAAAAATGTGTATAAAACATTTCAAGGCTGATTAAGTCTACTTGAGAACCCAGGGTTAATAAGGTCACATTCTTTTCTTCTCCCCCACCCCTCAACACCCCCAATCACTTTCTTTCATTCATTCAACATTTCTTTCTCTCTACCCCCGTCCCCCTGTCTTTCTCTCTTTCACTCTTTTTCATTTCTTCCTGCCCTTATCCCCCATCCCTTCCTTCCTTTCTTCCTCCCTTCTCCAACCTCCCACCCTTCCTTTCTCCCTCCAGCTCTCTCTTTCTCCGTCTCTCTCTCCCTCCACCTCTCTCTCCCTACGTCTCTCTCTCTCCCCCGATCTCTCTCTTCCTCCATCTCTTCCTCCGTCTCTCACTCCGTCTCTTCCTCCGTCTCTTCCTCCGTCTCATCCTCTGTTTCTCCCTCCCCTTTTCGTTCATAAAGAAAACATTGTGTGTTCATAGCACTTATCCAAACAAAGAGGACCTCTTCATTGACTGGTCGGGCAGGGGGAAGTAACTTACAGGTGCGTTGAAGGCCACGATCAAAGGAAGGAGAACAATTGGCGTCACAAACAGGGTCACCACTGTACGCCACGCCCAGACGTGACGTATAACCTCCCGTCCTTTACAGGCCATGATGTCAGTGATGCTCAAACTGACGGCCCTTTACGTGCTGAATGATTAGAGTCAGCTAGGGAACCACTGGCCGTACAGTTTCTAAGAGAAGGTAACATGATGGTATTTTGCATTGAGCCGTAATGATCAACTTACTTTTCGAAAGCATTTTGGTCCAGCAAGTAAAATGTAATTGATAGATAATTGAAAGATTAAAAGAAATATTTTAAATGTGGCAATGAAAAAAAAAAAAGGGGGGGGGGAATAACAATTTGGGGAAAGGGGGGCATTTTGTGAGTGGGGTGGGGTAAAAGTTTCTTATGATTACAGGATAAAACACAACTATATCAATCGAAAATATGCGCTACCAGGAACATGTCAGCAGGAAATTTAAAGGTTAACTCCAAGAAAGATGCCATATAAAAAAAAATAAATATAAAAAAAAGAGAAAAAAAAACTTGTTTAAAGTAAAAATTAAAATCCTAATTATTTACTGTGAAATTTAAGATATTTTTATTAATGACAAATTAATTTTATTGTTTTGTTGTTTAAAAAAAAATGTTTTACCGTTTAATTATGGCGAAAATGTTTAATTCAAATTATTACAATTTTAGATTATCTCAAAATTTTCTGATAAAACCTTTTTTTTTGTTTGTTTGGAATAATTTAAATTTGATTCTAATACACGGTGTAATTTAAAAAAGTTAAAAAAATACATGAATACTATAACAAAACATCTCCATCCTTACTGAAAAATAGGCTATGCGTTGCTTTTCTAAAAAAAAACCATATAATTGAGAATATAAGCACAGTTTGTTATCTCAGACAACTCACGTTAGATCAGGTTGTTGAATGATTTGTTGGCTAGCGCAGCTCGAGTCGGGCCGAACATTTGCCCTGACTCCAAACCAAATTGTCTCCTACTCCGAGCGGATCCAGATTCGTTTTTTGTGTCCCCGACTTCAATAAAAATCTCAACTCCGATTCCGACACACAACATCGTCAATTTCCACCATGTTTGAAAAGTCAACAGATACCCGGGTCATGTATTGTTAAATTCACGACTTCTGAGGGGGGAATAAATGCTCTTACTTACTCCTGTCTCTGGACTACGCGCGGACGAGGTGGCGACTTGTTTGTCATTCGACCGAACAATGTACCGCTGCCCGTGTTAAAGGCATGACGTTAAAACTAGTTGTCTCACCAACTTTATCAACACGGTCGGCAATTATAGGGTTAACAATGACGCAGTGAAAAAGGGGGGGGGGGGAACCAACTTTAAAAAAAAAAAATGGGCCCAACAATAAGGTAACTTAATGGGCATAGAAGGGCACGCGAAGAAACTGAACTTAAAATGTGTTGGGCGCGGGCTCTCAAATTATACGCTTTAACCCCTTGGATCGTCTCACAGGGGGGGGGGAAACAACTTTAAAAAAAAAAAATGGGCCCAACAATAAGGTAACTTAATGGGCATAGAAGGGCACGCGAAGAAACTGAACTTAAAATGTGTTGAGCGCGGGCTCTCAAATTATACGCTTTAACCCCTTGGATCGTCTCACTCAGTGGCGGATTCATTCGCTAGATATATCAGGGATGTACAGACACAATAAGAGGCTAGGAGAATCAATACCCGATGAGAGGCTGGGGGTATCAATCGTCAGATACTGGCCGAAGTTAACCTGGCTAAATCTGTCACTGAACAGAACGCTGACGACCGACTGAGTACAGGTCTTATTGTTCACAAAAGTAGGAGGAAAAATACAATGATGACAATTATTTAATTTTGGCGGTGGTGGTGGTTGTCGTTGAAAAAGAATGTGTGTGGGGGTGTGGTCAGCTCCACACCGTCGTAGTAACTAAAGAGAAAAACAACGCTTAAATGAATAAACCAGCCTCTATCTTGTTCCCCTTGTTTACCCTTATTTTTCTCCCACCAGGCAAGTCATACTCTCGTATGATATCAGTGTGTGTTGTTCTCCGAGATGTCACCAATAAATAAGTGAAAAGTTTACCTTTTTAAACAAAAAAAAAAACAAACTATCCACACAAAAATGCCCCACACGTTTTCGCAAGACAGGTGTTTTGTTTCAAAAACATACGAACAGTGTCACGCAGACGGTGACAGACTAGAGAGTGCAGGTACAATCCACAGTGCAACACGGGTCTCCCTTCCAGCGATAGATCAGTTCCAAGTGGTTTAAGACGTCTTTATGTATTCCACGACCCTGCCTGACAGGAAGGTTGGAGAGTAACGGATACGCCACGCCCACGAGACATTGCTGCTGTTGTTGTTGTTGTCCAGAAAATAAGACGCACGTCTGCAGGTAGATGGTTTAAATTGAATATCTTTATGTTCAATGAACTATTCGCCGAGATGGAAGAGCGTGGCACAGGGGTTCGAGGGTCAGCGTGGAAGGGTGGAGCGAAAAGGAGGGGTGGGGGGCAGTTGCCAGTGTTTTTTTTTTTTAAATTGAAGGCAGTATTTTCGGAAA